ACCCGATAATTATACCTTTCTCGAAATCAGAGAGCTCCGAACTGCGGGGCATCTTGCATGCGACTAAAGCCGATGCTATTTCCTACACGATATATACCGGCGGACTCCGTGACGTAGCTTAGGACCGCAGATATCGTCATTTGCAAAGGTGTCCAAATACTTATTGGTAGTCAGTGTATAACATAGTACTTGACGATTTCTGGGCTAACGCCCTTTGGGGTTATAAAAACGTCTGAAAGCTTTCAGATTTTTTATTACGCCTAAAGGAGCGTTTTTTAATGTTTTGTGGGTTACCTTTATTTATTAAATATATCATATTCTTCCCACTTAAGCCATAAAATTCAATTCAACAGCAATATCGCAAAATGTTTAAGAGAGCATATCTTTAGAAATTCCGATACACAGTCTCGCGTGCTGGAGATAAAAATAATTTTTTTTTCGTACAGTGTTGCCATTGTTTGCTTTGAAATTGTTGTCCTTCTTCATCAAAAACTCCAAAAAAAAAAAAAAAAGGGCTTTACAAAATATGAAATGGATAATAAAAAAAAATTCCAAAATTCCAAATTTGAGCTTCCAGGTGCCCATTTTCGGCTGCAGACGTACGTTATTCCAAATTGGATAGCTCTAGGTACGGTTGTTTTATCACACTGCGAGATATATTCATATATTTATGCAGATTCTTCATTTTTTATATTTCTTTAAGTATAATACAGGGCGATAATATTGGATGGCAACAATTTGAAAAGTGTTTCGTCGTTTATAGCGAATTAATGCAAAATGCCACAGGGAAATTAATAGCCTTTCTGAGCTAACGTTCTTTGGGCTAACAATTTAAACGTTACAAGTTTTCAATGACTTCGATGTGATCCACTCTTCGTATTAGAAATTCCTTTACATTATGGCAGAATGTTTGAAACCTGAATGCCAAAGGGTAATTAAAAGCCCTTCTTGGAAAATTGCCCCTTGGGGCTAAAGAAGAAATAAATTAAGATATGAAATACGACTGTAGATAAAACATCAATAGAGCTAAGCTTTTTTGAGCAGTTTGCATAGAAAAAAATCAGTACACTCCAGCCGCTAAATATAATGCATTTGGCGTACGAGTTTATGCTACTAATGAGTAAATTACTCAAAATGACTTGCTAATTAAAATTTACTAAATTGCTTAAATTTATTAATTACTAAATTACTTAATTTTTAGCCCAAAGGGATTTGAATCCCGAAGGACTATTAGTTTCGTTTTGGCATTTTGCGTCGGACTCATAAATGTCGGTTCACTTTTCAAACTGTTGCCACAAAATGTTAGAGTCCTGCATTATATTTGAAGAAATTAAATAATGAAAAATCTGCATAAATGTATGTATATTTCTCGCATTGTGATAAAACAGCGGTACCTAGAGCCATCGAATTTTGAATGACGTAATCTTCCTACGAATTTGGGCATGTGGAAGCCCAAATTTGAAGTTTGGAAATTGTTTTATTATCGGTTTCATTATTTGTAAAACTTTAACGAACTTTTGATTGGAGATAAGAAATATTTTTTTCCGTATAGTGTTGCCATTGCTCGTTTTGAAATCGTTTAGCTTTTTTTAAGATAAAAAATTCGTTGAAGTGTTACACAAAATATGAAATCGATAATAAAACAGATTTCAAATTCAAATTAGGGCTACCACATGCCCATATTCGCAGTAGGATTACGCCATTCAAAATGCGATGGCTCTAAGTACCGTTGTTTTATCACAATGCGAGAAACACACATACATTTATGCAGATTCTTCATTATTTAATTTATTTAAGTATATGACATGGCGATAATATAGAGTGGCAACGATTTGAAAAGTGATACAGCCTATTAAAGCTTTCGATGCAAAATGCCAAAACGAAATTAATAATCCTTCAGGTAAAATTGCCCATTTATTGATGAACAAAAAGGAGAAAAATAATTGTCGGTTAATGGGTACTTGTTTAATGGCTACAAGAGACTAAAAACTTGTGTTTACAAAATTCATCTACAATTTTATATCAGGAATCATAAAAATCTTTACAACGGATTATTTAAAATTTTAGTAAGTAAAGTAATTTGAAATGTTTAAGTAAAATCGCTGGATTTTTTCCGACTATTTAACGTAATATAATTTTTGGAAGACTTGAAAAATGATTTTTAAATTATAAAAAACTATTTTTCAGTTGAATAATTTGATTGATAACTGTATTATATATTCTTTGTTTTGAAACTGTGGATAGCAACGATTTCTTAAGCAATTTAAAATGGAATATTAAATTTTGTAACCTCTACTTTGGACAATAAGTAAGAAGTTATTTTTATCAATTTCAAATTGTGAATTTTAAGATTCCAATAATATAAAATAAGCAGTTATAAACCTTATTATTTTGATCTAAATTTATGATTTGGTTTCTGCGAATTGTTTCGGTGTTAGTGTTAAAGCATTATGACATCAATAAACTTGTCTACTTAGTTATCGTTTACTTAAGTTATTATTTCCAGCAATAGCACTGACATCAGCATTGTGGTAAGTATGATTCAGAAAGTTGAAGGGAGAAAAATTGTCGAAAGAAGAAGGACGAAGAAGGGAAGTTTGAATAAAATGTGCTCGCTAATTATTGTTTACTTTTCAGATAATTACACTCAGCTAATTATTGTTTACTTTTCAGTTCCGAAACATTGCTTGTAGTGAAAATGAGATTAATCAAACACAGTTTGAGAGAGAGACAGCATTGAGCAGTTAAAAAGCTATTATCATTTCGTGCTCTCAACGAGTTAGCATCCATATTAACACATGAAAAAAAAAAAGCTGTTGTGTACACCACATGACTTCCTTGTACGGAATATTAAATTATAGACATTTTTTCCTGCATTTCCTTTAAACTTACTTCCTCGAATTTCAATAGAAATATTTTTCTCATTCTATTAATTCACTTCTCACTTCGCGGCAATTCAAAAATACATAAAAAATCAAAATATCTTCATTAAACATTGCAAGATGTAGTAAAACATAAAACACCAAATACAGTTAAAACAATTTTTTAAAAAAAAACAGTTTAAAAAAAAACAATTTAAATTACAGTTTCTTCGCTAAAACAAGCAATTCGGCCAGCCGGGCAACAAGACAGATTTTTCGGTGCACGAAATTGAAAGTTTAACTTTCGTCCCACCCGGCAAAAGGACACTGAAGCTGCAGAAAGACTTAATTCATTATTGTGCTAAGTTTCAAATGTAAACAAATATGGCTGCTATGGTAAAAAATAATTAGGCTTAGCCGCTCTTAAACAACTTCTTAATTCTTGGTAATTCTACGACTATCGCATACGCATTAACTAAAGGCATAAAAATCTTAACCGGAACATAAGAACCACATAATTCAATCATTTATAAAGCAAAAAATGCGCAGTTTACCAACATATAAGAATAAAAAACTGAGCTCACGCAGCCAAGTAGCAGTGTGGGTATATATATACGAGTAGATATATATTTATATACTTTTGGTGCGGCCGATTGCAACCAAAAAGGGAGATGTACGACTACATGATATAGTAGTCTTAAGGCGACTTATTGTTATTGTTTGGAGAAACACACTTTCCGATTCTCTGTTATTAAAATGCTTTAAAAAACACTATGCTTTAAGGAGAATCACACACCTTAAAACCCCATTTATTTTAAAAGCAATTACTACCAACGTTTTACAGCTGACTACATAATATAGCTGCTTTCTGAAATAGTGATCAGAAAGTTTGTGTTGCCACAAATATTTTTATAATTTAATCCGCTTTGTGACAACATTTTTCGTCATGTTCCCGACTTGCGCGCACATTTAAAGCATTCTGTTTCATAATTAAATTCTATATTTAATCTATAGCTTTTATAACATTTGGAAACTACTGTGAACCTAAAATTCTAAAAATTTCATGTTCAATTTTTATTTTATTTTGAGTTGAGTTTATAAAATGTATTTTATTAACAAAAAATTTTTAATGTTTTCGTCCATAAAATTTTTCAGTATTAAAATATTGATCAGATTGTTGATTCAGTTCGAAAATAGTGCCCATATAAAGAATTCTATCCAATTTCAAGTATGTACCATTAGCCATTTTTAAAATATCATGCGCGCAAGGTGGAAACATGGCGAAATATTTTTGTCACAAAGAGGATTAAATTACAAAAATATTTGTGGCAACACAAACTTTCTGGTTACTAGTTTCTAAAGCAGCTATATTATGTAGTCAGCTGTAAAAGGTTGGAAGTAATTGCTTTTAAAATAAATAAAATATCCCAATTCTTGCAACAGTCACATATTCGAAGATCATGAGGGGTTTATGGTGTATGAGTCCCCTTAAACACAAAATTTCAACATTTTAAGGCAATCGTTTTTGAGTTATGCGAGATGCATACATACGTACGTACAGACGCCACGAAAAAAATCTCTTTTGAATCCATTTTCAATCCATTTTATAATTCGTTTTGGGAAAAAGAGTCGTTTATTCTGTCCTTACCTATAAATATCACTCAAAAACATTGTTAAATTGCATTCGATAGCGGTCAAAATAATAGATATTTTCGTTGAAATATGGTACCCGGAATTTTTGGGGATTACAATACTTCTTTTACAACGTACAGGGAAGTAATTACATGAGACAGATCGTTGGGAATTGTAAACAAGGGTTGAACATTGGGCAGGACATAGGTATGTCGGTTCGTCATTTTAGTTATTTAATTAGAGAATCGGACGCGTTTGATGGCAATCATCCACGAAATGTTTTCCGTAATTAACTAGCCAAACTTAAGCTTACGTGAAAATTTAAAGAGTCTGAAGGAAATGACTCACGTTCTGTAATCATTTCGAAGATGCCAAATCCGTTGTACAGAGACTTATTCTGAAAATTGAAGGGCAAGGAGGTGGGGAGTGGAACGAAATAAAAAAAAAAAAAGTCGCCAAGACCTCGATGCTGCGCCAAGGCTGCGTTCTACAGTTGGCAGTGCCCGAAATAAACGAGACACATCGGATTTCGAAGGAATCAGGTGGTATTTTTGCCATACAACTGTTTCGGTGGTTGAGAGAGCTCATTTTTTTCAAAGGAAAAAACGTCTGAAAGGATCTCTGAGCGAATTAAGTCTGCTTTCGAACGATTTTCAGCGAGCGAGATTAATCGGACGGATTACCTGCTTTTTTTAAAGGTAAGATTTGCTCGAATTTTACAATTTTAAAAAAATATATCACGTAGTTGTACAAAGAGCGTTTGTTAAGACCCAAGCTGACATTTGCAAGAGTGTATTTTTAGAGTAGAAAGGAATTCAGAATTTATATGCACGCAATTTCGTCATTCTTTCAAATTTGAATCTCAAAGAAAGATTTTTCAACTAAATATGCTGTAAACTTTAAGTTACCTAAACCATTAAGTCCCTAGTGTATGCGGATAATATAAATATCCTAAATAGTCAGCTACCTTTTTCCTATAATGTTATACATATAAACGTTATTTATATTATACCTTAAATATTATATCTTAAGTAGTCCTTTTTCTACGGGCAAACATATATTCGATATAATACGACTGAAAGAATTTGCATTCGTTTGTCTCCTATTTTACTTTGGAAAAAATTATACAATTAAAAGGAAAAAATAATTTTATTTCTATCAAAAAAATTTAAATGCATACCTTGGAACAAGACTGAATAACAATATTGTTCATTATTTGACTAAAGCACGCAATTTCTACATATAATAAAAGAAAGGGTCTGTCTGTGTGTATGTGTGTGTGTCTTTTGTTCGCGCTGAGCGTAAGCTAATAGACCCACGGCTACGAAATTTGGTACATAGGTGCATCTAGACAAGAGCCAGTGCACCTCGAAGCGACTTTTTCGAAATTCGAATTAGAATTTTTTTAATTTTATGTTTTGTTACGAAATCGCGTCATCTTGAGACAACATTCGCTATAGGAAAGCGATATTTTACTCTACACATTCCATTTTCACATCGTCGTGAAACGTAGGCACTTAGCTATTTTACGAACGTAAAATAAATTTCGTGTTTCAATAAATCGAGTCAATACGAATTCATTTAAGAAAGGGAGCTTAACACCTTTTCAACGGGATTTTTTCTAAAAAGGTTTATTTTTTAAAATGTACAGTTTATTTTTCTTTGATTTTTGGACACGTTAAACTTTCATCCTTGCGAATGCTTTTGAAAAAAGAATTTTGGAAAAATGATAATATTTTGTATTTTTAAAAATGTTTTTAAATGAAGCTTCCGAGTACACTTCTCACATCTCACATCTTTAGAAATGTAATTTTGGCAACAATTTTCCTTTCTTATTGTTGTTGATAGATTTTTGATGAAATCGCATTATTTTGAATAGTTTCATTCTTTTAGAAATATGGGTTTGGCAACAATTTTTATCGCATTTCTTATGTCACTGTTTTTAAGAGATTGGCATTTTTCATTGTCATTTTTTTATATAGATATAATGCTTTTTTTTTTTTTTTTTTTTTTTTTTTTTTTTGATAAAGTTGTTCGGCAGAGAATTCTACGCGGAATGTTTTGTTTTTTGAGTTTCTTTCATGTTATTTTTTGCTTATTTCACTATTTGTAAGATATTGAAAAGTTTTGCATGATTTTTTTTTCTTCAACGGAAAGTTGGTTAATTTTTTTATTAGGATAATTAATATTTGTATTAAGGGATATAGCTTATTTCATTGTAATTTTTTCTCTTGAAAATATAAGATAAAATATCATTAATTATACTTTGCTTTTCAGAATTTTTTGTTTTTTGTATTCTTTTATGTTATTTATTGCTCATTTCACTGTCTTTAAGATATTGAAAAGTTTTGAGTGATTTTTTTAGGAAACAAAGTTCTTAACCTCCTTTATACCATTTGAGTTCTTAAGATTTTGCAAAGGGAAGTTGGTTAATTTATGTATTAGGATAACTAATATTTGTATTAAGGGATATTGCTTATTTCATTGTAATTTTGTTATACGTAATAACTTTTTTTTTATGAAGTTGTTCTGCAGAGTAAAATTCTACGCAGTTTTTAAATTTAACGTTCGGTGTTCCCTTCACCCATTTTTCCGGTACATTTAAAAGCCAGACGAAGGCTGGCAGCGAAGCTGCTAGTTGATAAAATAAAACAATTAAATTAATGATTTTTTTTACAACAGCCAAAAAGTTAAACACTTTACTAGCTTTTAATTACTTAAGCGCCCAGAAGGGTTAATTTCGTTTTGACATTTTGTGGCGTGTCGCTATCAACGGTGTTTCACTTTGCAAATTGTTGCCACCAAATTTAGAGCCCTGTATTAGATTTAAAGAAATTAAATAATGAAGAATATGCATAAACTATGTATGTTTCTCTCACAGTGATAAAACAACGGTACCTAGAGCCATCCAATTTTGAATAACGTACGTCTACACCCGAACATTGGCATCTGAAAGCCCAAATTTGGAATTTGTTTTATTTATCTATTTCAAATTTTGTCAAACATTAAAGAAATTTTTATTAAGAAACTCAACGATTTCAAAGCGAGCAATGGCAACACTGTACGCTGGGGGAAAATTATCTCCATCGCGCGAGAGTGTGTATCGGAAATTCTAAAGATATGCTTTTTTTAAGTTAATTTGTAATATTGTTTTTTAAGTTAATTTGTAATATTGCTGTTGAATTGAATTTTATGGTTTAAGTGCGAAGAACATGATATTTAATAAATAAAGGCAACGCACAAAACGTTAAAAAAAGACCCTTTGGGCGTAATATAAAATCTGAAAGCTTACAGATTAAAAAAAAAAAAATATTTATTTATATACCGTAATAAAATGATACAAAGTGATTATTACTTATTTTCGTGAAACGGAGCATATATTCTTTTTCTATTCAAGTAAAATTAAAACAAGACATTTAATATCTATTAGTGTAAAATAGTGAAACCAGTAATAAAATAATGTACGTAAAAAAAATTCGCAGCTTTCTTAATCACTGAGAAATAACTTAGGTAATAAAATCATTTGCCTATATGAAGCATAGATGTGATCCCCTCCCCCTTCAGTGTACAACTATTTACTTGAAAGCAACCTCAAAAGATGTCTTTTAGCTGTTTCATCTTCGAAAACATTGCTCGAGTTGCACCACAGAAGATGGTTAGATGTTGATCTGCCAAGGGGAGGGGGGGGGAAGCAGACACACACGTACATCCAAGTCTTACACTGAATTCGAAATTGCATCTTCTTTGCTTGTATCGCAATATATAATGTAATATGTAGTGTACTATGTACTGATAAACTATCTTGTTGATTTGATATGTAGTACATTATATAATACGTAAGCCAAATATCGTAATATGTAATGTAATCATAATAATGTCATATGTATCATGTATAATGTAATATGTAATAGTGTCATATGTATCATAATATATAATGTAATCGTAATAATGTCATATGTATCATAATATATAATGTAATATGTAATGTAATCGAAATAGTGTCATATGTATCATAATATATAATGTAATATGTAATGTAATAGTAATAGTGTCATATGTATCATAATATGTTATGTAATATGTAATGTAGTATGTACTGATTAATAAGCAACATGAAACACAATGCAAAACCCAACTGAAACAATGTGAATGCAAACTTTATAATAGTATTATGCATAACGATGTAGGAAGTGTATCGAGCAACGGGTACAATTGGCATGGTCCAGATGACAATTCAATATGCGTCCAGTGTATAAAGCCTATCATGTGTATAATTTATCCTGTATAATGCAATACCTGTGTATAACTAATTTCCTGTGAATAATTTAACCCGTATCGTGCTTATAACCCCCTACTGCGCATAATGTTCCTATGTATCATTAATTTCCCCGTATATAATGTAATGCGTACCCAGTGCATAATGATAATATAATGCGAATACTGTGCAAAATAACCCTTTTATAATGTACCAATATAGGGTTTATTAGGAAAGAATTTTAATGTAATAAGTTGATGTGAAGTTAATGCAATGTTAGGGTAAGGTATTAATTTGATATGTAGTATATAATACAATGTGTAAATCATGTATCGTAATATATAATGTAATACGAAATGTAAGATAAAGGTGGACGTGGTGCTGTACTGATTAACGCAAATGGTAAAGGGACAGTGCCCACGTCCTCCGTCGCTTATAACTTAAGATTCCGAGAATACCAAGTACTTTACTCTAAAAGGGCATTAGCTTAGAAAGCCTAATTAGTTTCGAAACGGCGTTTTGCGCCCAATCACTTTAAATGTCAGAATCACATTTCATATTGTTGCCACCAAATAGTATTGCCTTTTATTATATTTAAAGCAATTAAATAAGGAAGTATCTGCATGTATGAACGTATGTTTCTCGCACTGTGAAAAAACAACGAAACCTACAGCCGTCAAATTTTGAATAACGTGGTCCTCCACCCGAATATGGAAGCACGAATCTTGAATTTCGAATTTGTTTTATTGTCTATTCATATTTTGTAAAATTTTAACCAATTTTTCATTAAAAAAACTCAAAAATTTCAAAGCCAGCAGTGGCAACACTATACGAAATAAAACATTTTTGTTTCCAGCGAGCGAGACTCCCTATTGAATATTCTAAGGATACGATGTTTTTAAATGCTTTTAGCCCAAAGGTGTGTTATCCCAAATGCCCTTGAAACGTGTATGCATATGTAGATGAAAAAAAAAAGGTCCCTTTGGGAATAATATAAAACCCGAAAGTTTTCAGATTTTTTTTTCTTTATTAATTTTATTTTGGTCAAATAAAAAAAAAGTTATGCATTGAGAGCTTACTTTAATAAAAATTTGTTTCATCGGCTTTATTTTAGTTGAAGTGAGTTTTTGTGTTTGCCCAAATTATTTTTTAAAAATTCCTCTCGAGAAATGGGGGGTTTATTTTAACGAGAGTAAAAATATTTTGACTGTAATTTTTGTTTAATTAATATAAAGTAAGCAATAAAATGTAACAAGTCTTCTGAGAAACACTAAGTAATTTTATTTTAAGAACACAAAAATATGCCCAGTAATTTCATTGAAAATGATGAAGACACTGATGTGCAATTAATCTGGTCTTAAACAAATGGCTAAAGGAATTAGATATATGTATTAGTCCAGGTTAAACTTCTGATAAAAGAGGAACCTAAACATTCACTTATTG